TGCTCGGGGGACCCCCGCTGCGAGCCGGGCGGGAAGCCCCAGGGGCTGCTGGGCAGGTCTTCCCCCAGCGGCCTCCGCGTGGAGGAACTGTACGGCCTCAAGGCCCACCGGCTGCTCGGCAAGGCCCCAGCCAGCGCCCCCAAGGCATCCCGGTCAGAGTCCGGCCCGGAGCCCAGCGAGGGCAGGCGGCTCTCCCTCACCTCAGGGCTCATGGGCATCCTCACGCCCTCCTCCTCCCAGCCCGCTGTGCGTAACTCTCATCTTTAGTTCGTTAATCGGGGTGGCAGGGAGGGTTCTGGACATACATTGGCAGGGAACTGGTAGAGGAAAGCAGCGCAATCCTGTTGTTTTTTAAAAATCTGTGGGTTTTGTAAGTATTGTTGTGCATAGTGGGGATTTGCAACTGGTGCTGGGATGTCCATCTACACTAATAAAAGAAAGATGCAATTGACCGTACCTTCGCAACACCCACCAGCCAATCAGGAGTGAGTATGCAAATTAACCCAACAAAGATGGTAGGTTATCTGTATACACAGGCGCTCAGCAGCCGGGGGCGGGGCAGCCACTTATGTGCGCACCGGCACCAAGTGGCCTGGGTCCTGGGGATGGGCGTCCTCAGGACCCAGGCTGCTCTGAGCCTGTAGGCCTGCATGTAGGCCTGGAGCGGCCAGAGTCCCAGAATGACCCCCAGACACTCTGGGCCTGCACGCGCAGGCACTGAGCAGCTGGGGGCGGGGTGGGGTGGGAACATCCCCAGGATCCAGGTGCTCTGAGCTGGCATGCACGCAAGCGGCCGGGGGTGGGGTGGGAACGTCCCCCACAGCGAGCAAGCAGACAATAGGCCATGCTTGCCCCTGGCCGTGGCAGCGAAAGGCAAGCAGTTCCCCACAGGGCCTGCACAGAGAGCTGACACCAGGGCCTGCAGTGGCATCAAGCATGCAGGTCGCAGAGAACAGAGAACCCCCGGGAGCAGGCCTACGCCGTCAGTAGGACATCCCCTGACGGCTCCCAGATTGGAGAGGGTGCGGGTCAGGCTGAGGGACCCACCCTCTGTGCATGAATTTCGTGCACTGGGCCCCTAGTGTTGATTATATTTGTCTTAAGAAAATGTATTTGAACATATTGGTACTTTGAGGTAGACGTCCCTTCAAGCCCATTCTTACCAAAACTTCTTAGGGCCTGTAGGGTATCATGTCAGGGGGTTCACAGAGCATCTCCTTACACAGGCTGAAAGTTTGATGTTTTGTGAAGTGGGTAGAGCTGACCTCTAGTTTTCTCACCTAAGTGGTGGAGGACAAGGCTTGTCTAATAATGAACTTCAGGTGATGTCCTTCCTGTCGTGTCTAAGAGGAAAGCTGGACGTAGCGAGGAGCAGCATTCGTGGCTGTAGCTCTGCCTCACCCGAAGCTGTTCTTGGTGTCTGTAAACCCCAAGTCACCTAATCCTGAAGCTGCTTTATTGGGGGCACAGGGGTGGTGGTGGTGAGGAATGGGGGGAGATGAATGTATTAAAAGTTAACTTTGGGTGAGGTTCACTGTGAGTCGGTCTTACACAAAATTTACCTCTGGAGGGATCTGCCTTAGAGTCCATTTCAGGTGAAGAAACAGACCTATCTTACGTATTTAATTTACTTAAAATAGTGGACACATGTTTTGTTTGCTTTTGGTGAGTGTGTGTCTGTGTTGGGGCAGCTGTATTTAGCTCTTGACTGTGCACATGGAAACACCTAGCAATAGATGAAATGGCAGAAAGAAAAGATTTGTTTTTAGAAAGTTGTGTTTCTTGTATAGATTTATTTCTACAATTAAATTGTACATTTTACCATTCTAATATATAAAAAGCCAGGGGCTCTCACGATCGAAACAACCAGACAGACGACCAAACAGTAGGCTGCGTGGGGCAACCAGGCCGGTGCGGGGGAGGGGGAAGGCAGTTGGGGGCGACCTGGCCAGCAGGGGGAACAGTGAGGAGCAACCAGGCCGGCAGGGGAGCAGTTGGGGGCCACCAGGATGGCTGGGGGACAGTTGGGGGAGACCAGGACAGCAAGGGGGGCTGTAAGGGGTGACCACGCCCACAGGGGGGCAGCGAGGGGCGACCAGGCCAGCAGGGGGTGACAGTTGGGGGTGACCAGGACAGCATGGGGGGGCATTTGGGGGCAACCAGGCTGGCAGGGAGGGAAGTTAGGGGCGATCAAGTTGACAGGAAGAGGCGGTTAGGGGTAATCAGCCTGGCAGTGGGGACAGTTAGGGGCGATCAGGCAGGTAGGCAGGTGAGCAGTTAGGAGATCGGGTGTAACCCAGCAGTCGGACATTCCCCGAGGGGTCCCGGATTGAAGAAGGTGCAGGCTGGGCTGAGGGATGCACTCCCCCCCGCCCCCCGCATGAATTTCGTGCACTGGGCCTCTATTAAGATTATATTTGTGTTAAGGAAATGTATTGGGACATAGTGGTAATTTTATGTAGACATCCCTTAAAGCCCATTTCTTACCAAAACTTATTAGGGCATTTGGGACTTAATGTCAAAGAGTCACTTAGAAGAAAGTTTTTCATGTTAGTTACAGCCAGGAAAGACAATCGCAGACATCCATTCTACACAAGAGGATGTCTGCATGGCCGCCTGCCTGGTGAAGCTGAAGCATCATGTAATAGTCAGTGTTGGCCGCTTCTCAGTGCCCGTCTTCACTGTCTGTGGAGGAAGAATTTTACAGTCTGGTTGTAAAATAAGATGGAGATGAACTATGGGAGGTGGGAGCGTTTGACACCAAGTAGTAGAGGAAATGAGTGTGGGTGATGATGGGAAGATGCCAGTCATTTTACTAGAAGGTCAGGAAGGGGGCATGTTCACTTGGCTCAGACAAAGGGCCATGGCAGAAAGTGTCCTGTCGCACAGGGACTCCGCCACCTCCATGTCAGACAGCGACTCAGCTCCTGCTACCGATGATCTTACAAAGAGCACGTCTGCTTCCGTCCACGGCTGCGCAAAGCGAAGGCCGTAATCTGCCCCTTTCCCCATTCTAAAGAATTGTTCTGTTCTTCTGCTTGCTTTTTCAGCCAAATGGTGCCAAATGTGTTCCCCTCCGAGACCGCGGCTTCCTAGTGCAGGTAGGAGCCCAGCACCCACCCGCTGGGGAGCGGCTTCGGCTGTCGGGGGTATGGGGTGGGTGTCACGTCCCGTCAGCCGCACCTCATTCCCTCCCCGTGGCTCCCCGCAGACCATCGAGTTCGCGGAGCAGCGGATCCCTGTGCTGAACGAGCACTGCGTGGTGTGCGACGAGCGGCACGTGTTCCTGAACGGCCCCATGCTCAGGGTCAGTGTCGGGGGCGGTCGGGGGGAGTGGGGATATCAGGGAAGGGGGGAGGCAGAAAACAGAATCATGAAAAACTGCACTGACAGGAAATACTCTCTGTTGAGTAGATTATCTCATAGGGAAAGGGGTATAATTTTTGACCACGGAGTCACTGTGTCTGAAGGAATCCATGTCAGAGCGAGTCGTGTTATTTCGTTCATGTGCCTGTATCTCCTGCATGTGCCTGTCGCCTCTCTTGTTTATCTGTGTGTGTCTCATAGGTCACCTGTCAGGCACATGTGGGTGAACATGGAGACAGAACTTGTAAACAGCATTTCTTCAAAGCCACACAATTTAAGATGCTCACTATAGAGAGGAGACGGTGGTCTGTATTGTGGTTAGAAGAGGTGTATAGGAGCTTGCAGAAAATCAGTAAAATTTCAAAAGATGCAACTCACGGACACATTCAGGGGGTGGTTGAGGGGGTATAGAAATAAGAATCCATGTGCATTTTGGGGAGAATTACCTAATTTCAAGCTTTGTTTATAATTCTTTTATTGAGGTTTAAATTTGGTAAGAAATGCATAACATGTAATTCACTATGTTAATGTGTACAGTTCAGTTGTGCTTAGTATATTCACACTGTTGTACAACCATTACCGCTCTGTCATTCCAGAACATTCCCACCACCCATAAAAGAACCCTGTAGCTTAGTGCTCACTCCCCATTTCCCCTCCCCTCACCCCCTGCTGACCACTTGTCTATTTTCTATCTCCGAGAATTTGTCTGTTCTGGGCTTTTCATGTCAATGGAACCTTGTGTTCTGTGGCCTTTGTTTGGGGTTCTCTAACTCAGTGTAATGTTTTCAAGGTCCACCCACGTGGCACGTATCTGTACTTTATTCCTTTTATGGTGGGACTAGAGGCCAAGTGCATGAATTTGTGCACAGGTAGGGTCCCTCAGCCTGGCCAGTGATCAGGGCTCGTCAGGGCTGGGCTGGCCGGGGGGAGGGGCCAGAGGAGGGGGATGGCCAGCTGGGGGGGAGGGGCCGCAGGAGGCCTGCCTGGGGGAGGGGCTGCGGGAGGTTGTTCTGTGGGACCGCACTGACCACCAGGGGGAAGCTCCTGCATCGAGTGTCTGCCCCCTGGTGGTCAGTGCGCATCATAGCGACTGGTCGACCCGTTGTTCCAGTCATTTGGTCTTGCCAGTCACTTAGGCTTTTATATATAGAGGGATAATGTAGTATATGGATGTTCAACATTTGTTTATCTATCATCGGTTAATGGAATTATTGGGTCATATGTTAACTCAGTTTAACTTTTTGAGGAACTACCAAACGTTTTTGACCATTTCATATGCCTACCGACAGAGTATGATGGTTCCAGTTTCTCCACATCTTCACCAGCATAGCTAGCTATCACTTGGTTTTATGTTGCTCAGACTGGTATCTAAGGAAATCAGAAAAATTACTTTGGTTTTTTAGATAGGAAGGTAAGTGACCTATGAAATCAGATCACGAAATGAAAAATTTAAAAAAAATCTCATTTTCATGCCCGGCTGGTGTGCTTCAGTGGTTGAGCATCGACTTAGGAACCAGGAGGTTGTGGTTCGATTTCTGGTCAGGACTCATGCCTGGGTTGCAGGCTCGATCCCTAGTTTGGGGCATACAGGCGGCAGCCAATCAGTGATTCTCTTTCACCATTGATGTTTCTATCTCTCTCTCCCTTTCCCTGCCTCTCTGAAATGAATAAAAATATATTTAAAAAAAAAACAAAAACAAAACCCCCCCAAACATTTCATTTTCAAAAGAAGAGAACGAGAGAGGAAGAACTCTGCCCTTTGATTCTGTTAGAAATTTCTCCTAACTCAGGGTCACTCATTTTCTCTCTTACATTGATTGCAGTAGTTTCACTAGAATTAGATAAAATTTTTGGGTTTTCATAGATCTAATCTCACCTGTGTTAGCTATTTCTATTTTACCATTTACCCCGTTGCTTACATATTTTCCCTTTTCTCCAAACCTGTTTTTATTATATGACAAAAGTCTCTCAAAAATGCCTAGAGTGTAATCTGCGTGTGCTGTTCTGCCCCTTTGCTCCGGGCTGGGCCAGCAGGTCACAGTTCCTACTACACGGGGAGCTAGACCTTCTCCTTAGAAAGACCAGACGCCCCAGTTCCTCTTTGTTTACGAAGTTCATGAACGCCACTCCCGGGCTTGCACTCTGCCAGGGAGCACTTCTGCTCTGCACCCACATTAACACCAGGAAGACCGTCCAGAGATGCCCGACTGCCCAGGTTGGCATCGAAGTTTGGATCTTGATCAGAAAACCAAACCCAAACCAGATCATTGGTTCTGGACGTTTTGGGACCAACTGGAGTGTTAACACGGCAGCTGCCTTAAAGATGCTTTCAGATGTCGAGCTACACGGCTTGTGTTTTGCAAAGCAGGACAGCTTCCCTGACCGAGTCCGCCACCGTGTTATCCTCTGAGCTCCCCGTGCCCTTCTCTCTGTCGCACGCACCTGCACGCGCCAGCCCGGGGTCAGTGCGGTGGCTCTTCTCTGCTCCCTGCACACGAGCTGCTGAGCTCCTGGAGGAAACGGCGTGACTGTGTGGGTCGTGGTCCTGCAAAGTGGGAAGCCTGCCGTGGACACGCGGCTGCATCCCATGTGTCCTTGGTTCGGGGTTCTTCCCGTTCCCCACAGCAGCTCCTGATGGGAGCACTGACTTCGCTCACGGCTCCGGCCGCATGCCTGGGGCGATCCCCTGCCCTGGGGGGACCGGTCCGCGCTGGGGGTCCGTTCTCTCCGCATGAGAAGCAGGCCCGGTCCTGCCAAGGCCGAGTCAGCTGAAGAACCTGAGACGCTATCGTCCTGTGTATCCAGCCTTAGAGTGGACCTTAGACCGAGTTCGTCCCTGAAGCTCTCATCTTCAGGGTGAAATTAACCCGGTGACGATGTGGTCCCACTTTAAGGCGTCCCATGAAAACTCTTAAGAAATGAGCCCGTAGATAGACCTGGGAGTGTCCCCTTTCTCCTCCCGAGAGGAGAATAGCCAGATCTCCTGTGTGAGGTCTGACTTTAATATTCGAAAAATGGATGAAGAAGCACATCTATACCTGCCCTGTTTCCCCACGTGTGAAAGTTAAGACTTCAGGGTCTGAGATATAGGCTAAACTAAGTAAAAATCACACCAGGAATAGTTCAAAAATGTGTTGTTTTTTTTTTTACATCCAAATTGAGTAGAAATTCAGCTCTGCTCAGTAGCTAGCTGTCAGAGACAGCAGGGTGCTGGTGCCGAGGGTCCCGTCCTGGTCCTGTCTCAGTGGGAGGGGTCCTTGTCCCCGTGGCATTC